TGAAACTTTGCAAAAAAGCGCCGAGACACAAAACAACATGTGTTTTGGAAATAACCTTGGAAGGGCACACTCACACACAAAGTTTGAAAGAAATCTGTTTTTTCAACCAAAATGGTTATGAGGTTCTTACAGAGACAGCCTCTTAATAGTTATATTCTAACCCTCCTACACCACATACATAGCATACTCTATCATGTACAGTATATAAGAGCGCAATATTAGATTTGAGCCGGAGAGTTTAAAGAAATTTTATTCACTTAACACTTATTGAACGGGAGCGAGGTTCTGGTCAATAAATGTTTTGTTTTAACCAAGTGTCAAAGAACACAAAGAAGTTATTTGATCCTTTTGATTATTTGCTTTTGGAAAACTTAAATAAAATTTTTTGGGAAATCACTTCTGGTATTTTTATTACTGGTCAGCAATACATGTATATTGTTACCCACTGAGAGCTGTTGCCAGGGCTGTTGTCAAGTTTACGTGATACCCTCTTGTCCAATCAGAGTATGAGAAAAATGGACTTTTATAGTTTGTATATAACAAGCTTTTATCAAACTKGTGTAACTCATGGGTTTTTTCTTTGCTCTAAGTATAAAGCTGTTTAACAGTTTTCTCCATTTCTGGCACTGATGCCGCTACACTGTAMAAAAATTGTGGGTGTGCAGGTAAGATCTTGAATGGTATGATTGGTACTATGGATGATATCTATTCCATGTAAGCCATGTGTCATTACTTTTCATAAACATCTGTTCATTCTTAACCAAAAATAGACCCTTTGCATTGATTTCCTAGAGGAATTTTTCTAAGGGATAAAACAATAGGCCGTCTTTTCTTCTGTTAAAGAAAATCCATTGCTTTGTCCCCCAGAACAACAATTCCTCTTGGGACTACTGGGACTCAGTGCAAGGGGTCTATATGTCTATCAACAAGTCACTATATTTTCATGTAATGAATACCTTGTCTGGGCATGTTAACGTRTGAAAGTGAAGCTCTTGTCTTGGTATTTCATGGCGTGCATTGAAAGGGCATGTAACAAAGTCTTTTGCATTGTGAATCTAAAGGAAAGATTAGATTTAAAATAAGTTACGTTCTGCAACTATATTCACAATGGGAGGGATAAATRCTGTGGTAGGCCAACATGGCAATACACAAGTGCTGTCAAAAGTATCCCATGCTCAGATTTGAAAATGAGGATTTCTGGGCAAGACTTTTACATGTGCTATGGGACACACATACAAAACTTTGAAAATTATGATAAAGAAGGAATACTTTGAAAGTTTCTTTWAGTTGGGGAGCASKATRRTAACTTTTTGAAAAAAATATACCTGTAGCTTACTTCATATAAAATCTATTTTTTAAATGATACCGGAATGG